ATTTGTGGATGTTGAACCACCCCTGCAGCCCAGGAGTAAATCCCACTTTTTCGTGGTGAATAATCTTTTTAATGTACTGTTGGATCCAATTAGCTAGTATCTTGCTGAGAATTTTGCATCCATGTTCATCAAGGATATTGGTAAAAGACATTTTTCTTATTTAAATCTCCTTGAAAGAAAACAGCATTGATAACCAACAATGTAGTATAGGTTTATGGTGCACCTGGAAGGAAAGGGTTTGATAGCAGCACAGATGCCAGAAGGAGAGAGATGGAAGCATACAGTTGGAAGATTCTTAGAGTTAACCCTTGAACAACATGGGGATTAGGGCTAACGGCCCCACATACAGTTGAAAATCCATATATAACTTCTGGTGATTCCCCCAAAACGGAACTACTAGTAGCCTACTGTTGACTAGAAGCCTAACCAATGACATTGATTAACACATATTGTTTGATTGATTAACACATATTTTGTATGTTATATGTAGTAGATACTGTAATCTTACAATTAAGCAAGCTAGAGGAAAGAAAATGAAATTAAGAAAATCATAAGAAGGAGAAAATACATTTACAGTACTGTACTGTATTTACTGAAGAAAAAAAATCGGCATAAAAGTGGACCCATTCAGTTCAAGCCTATGTTGTTCAAGAGTCAACTGTACTATATGTGAAGTGATACAATATCACTTCAAGCCAGAATGTGAAAAGTTAAAGATAGAAACTATGAAGCCTAAAGCAACCATTAAAATAACCCAATAAGATACAGAGAGCTAATACATCAATAAAGGGAACAAATGGAATAATAAATATTCAGTTAATATAAAAGAAGGCAGTAAAATAAGGAAAAAAAAGAAAAAAGAACATGTGAATTGGATAGTAAATAATAGGAAGGTGGTAGACTTCATCCCAATCAAATCAATAACACAATATGTACACCAAAGGCAGAGCTTTCAGATGGGAGAAAAAATAAAAGAGCCATTTACATGCTGTAAGAAACCACCCTAAATATAAAGAAAAAAACAGATGAAAAGGAGAAGTATGGAAGGAGGTATGCCAAGCTGAACTAATGGAAAACTGGAGTACACAACTAATACAGAATAAAGTAGATTTCAGGGAAAAAAAATACTACCAGGAATAAAGAGCATCATTTCCTAATGATAAAGGGGGCAATTCATCAAAATGATAAGCAATCCTAAATGTTTATGTACCTAGTAGCAGAGCTTCAGAGCACAGGAGGCAGATAATGATAGAATCAAAACAAGAAACAGACAAGCCCACGATTACACTCTGAGATTTCAACAGCTTTTTCAGTTATGAATAGAACCTGTAGACAGAAAATCAGTAAGGATATAGAATACTTGAACTATGCCATTAGCCAACTTGACCTATGGCATCCATAGAACACTTCACACAGATACAGCAGAATAGACATTTTTCTTAAGTATGTATGAATCATTCACCAGGACAGACTTTGTTGTGACTCATAAAACATGTCTCATTAAATTTAAAAGTATTCAAGTCCTCCAAAGTATGTCCTCTAACCACAGTGGAATTAAATTAGAAATAAAATCAGAAAGGTCTCTGCCAAGTCCCAGATATCTGCAAACACAATTTGAAATAATCATGAGCAAAGAAGAAATCATAAAAGAAAATTTGAAAACAGTTTGAATCCAGTGAAGATGGAACCCAATATATCAAAGTTTGTGGACTATAGCTAAAGCAGTGAATAAAGGGAAATTTTTTTGTACTAAATGTACACATTAGAAAAGAAGAAAGATTTTGAACTAATGATATCAGCTAGCTAAACCCAGTTGAAGCCCAGTAAAAGAAATCAGGAGCCCAATGTGGAGCTCGATCCCAGGACCATGAGATCGTGACCTGAGCCGAAGGCAGATGCTTAACCAACTGAGCCACCTGGGTGCCCCAACTTTAAATCTTTCAGAAAGAAATTTCGAAGAAAATCTTTGTGACCTAGGGTGACACAAAAATTTTTTAGATAACTTCGAAAACCTGGTCTATAAAAGAAAAAGTATCAATTGGACTTCAGGAAACTTAAGAATGTGTACTCTTCAAAAGCACTGCTGGGAGAATGCAAAACAAGTGTGGGGTGAGATTGCAAATCATGTAGCTGAAAAAAAATTGTATCCAAAACACATAAAAACTCAAAATTCAACACAATGGGAAAACAGCCCAAGTAAAAATGCAAAATACTTGAATAGATATATATTTTTTAAGAGAGCAGGAGTGGAGGGGCTGGAGGGAGAGGGAGAGAGAGAATCCTAAGCAGGATCCTTGCCCAGCACAGTCTGAAGCAGGGCTCGATCTCACAACCCTGAGATTATGACCTGAGCTGATATCATTTAAGCAGACGCTTAACTGACTAAGCCACCCAGATGACCCTTGAATAGATATTTTATCCAAGAACATATACAGATGTCAAACAAACTAAAAAGATGTTCAACATCATAACACCATTAGTTATTAGGAAAATGCTGGTTAAAACCACAGACAATATCACTTCATACCTATTACAATGCCTTTAATTAATTTGGCCATACCAAATACTGGCAAAAATGTGGAGGAACTAGATCTCTCACACACTACTGTTGGGGATATAAAATGGTACAACCACCTTGGAAAACCTTTTAACATTTTTAAAAGTTTAAACAAATAACTGCCACATGACTTGGGCATTCCTCTCCTAGATGTTTACCAAGAGAAGCGAAAGCAGATGTCCCTATCAAGACTTGTACAAACATGCAGAGCAGCTTTATTTACAATAGCCAAATCCTTGGGGTAGAAACCCAAAGATCCCTAATGGGTCAATGGATAAATTGTGGTATCTGCACCCTGAAATTTTATTCACCAATAAAAAGGAATGGCCTACTCCAAGTAATCATGCTGAATAAAAGAAGCCAGAGAAAAGCAGAGCACATACTACGTGATTCCACTTATAGGAAATTTTAGAAAATGTAAACTAATGTATAGAGATAGAATGCACCTCCCTTTGGGGGGTGCAGAGGGATAGGAGGGCGGGATTACATAAGGATGCAAGGATACATTCTGGGATGACAGATATGTTTGCTATCTGGATTGTGGTGATAGTCTATGTGCATTCGTGTCAAAATGTATCAAATTGTATGTTTTACAAATGTGTGGTTTATTAATTATACCACAAGAAAGATTCTTTGAAACTGTAACACTGCACACTTCCCCTTGTTCAATATTTACTTGGTATAAATATCTTTCATGTTTAACCTTTCAATATTCTTCTATTTTAGGTGTATACTTTTTAGGCAGTCTAAAGCTAGATTTCACAGCATATACCATGCATTTAATAAATACTTTTTGACTGTTCAATAAGTGAATCTAGGCTGGTAATCTAAATCTTTGATTTAGCCTAGGGAATTTAGTTCATGGACCTTCATTATGACCTCTCTAAACTCATTTCTAAGGTCTTATTCTATTCTTTCAACTTCTCCCCTCTCCCTTCCTTCCTTTTATCCTTCTTCTTTCTTTTTCCTTTCTCCCCTTTTTGCCTTCACTTTCATTGACTGAAATATTTTTTTACCCCTCATTCTAACCTTTCCCCCTCTACTGGTTCAGAACTATATGCTCTCTTTTATTGATTATCCTAGAAATTTTAGCACATATAGTTTGACTTAACAAAGTTAAAAATTACCCAATACCTTTACTCTCTTCTCCCGGAATTGAAGGACCTTACTCGGTGGCTTATTTCCTTGAGCGTGTAATGATGTTTACATTTTATTCTGCTGTGTGCACACAAGTGCTACAGCGTGTTAAATTGAATTTTCAGACCACAGTGGCAGCATGGATTTTAGCTCTTAAGTTGAGGCACGGCGGATTGAGGGTGAGGAATCCCTAATAGAGAACTTGTCTCTCGTCCCTACCTTCTCTCAGAGCCAAAGATACAAGAGGCTAGGCTCGTCCTATGGGTGAATTTTCTTTTTCTTCCTTATTCACCCAGTGAGGGTGTGGCCCTTTGGAAATTTCAGATATATACATGGTCCTCCTCCCCCGCCAACCTCTCACCCTATTTAGGCACACAGTTTTGTCTTCTGACCCTCTAACGTGGGGCTTGGCTTCTTTCCTGTACATTTTCAATTAACCAGAAATATTAGCTAGTTCTCTATTCTCCAGGCTTTCTGGTTAATAGAGTAGTGACTAAGAATGCAGCTGTGGGATTCAGAGTGGCTGGGATCTGATTGAGTCTCTACTATTTATTTCCTGTGACTTTGGGCAAATTAATGAAAATCTCTGCACCTCCATTTCCTCGCATATAAAGGGAGAGGCAATAATCATGCCTGTCCCAGGTCTTGCAGGCATGGAATAAATTAATACATTTAAAGACCTTAGACCAGTACCCAGTGTCCTGGGCTACAGTAAGAACTCAAACAGTAACTGCTATTATTGCTACAATTTTTGTGCTTACAGAAAACATTCTGACGTTAGACTGCATTCTGTTCTACAAAGAGGTTAATGCCTCACAATATGAATTTTCACGATATGAATGATTTTCAACTCTCAAATGATGTTACCTAGTTTATTCATCTCTAAAGGTAAATAAATGCTTTCCATTGATGAAATCGCAAGTATTTGATATCTGTTGTTTCTCAATTTTTCTTCTTTTTAGAAAATATGATTATCTCTGGAGGTTAGATCTTCAAAGTCTGTTTTTCGATTATAAACTATTTCTACATGCTGTCGGAATAGCAGATACTCTTACACGAGAAGATTCTACTGCTTAAAAGTAGCACGGTAACATTTATTTTTTTCCCCCAACATGAACCAGATGATGATGCCAACAGCTGGTTCATTTCATCTCGAGTCAGAACACACCAGTGTAGTTACATCAAGCTCTGGAACATATCACACACATCACATGGGCTGGCACTGCTCTATTAATGACACATGAACCAAAGAAATTACAAGTCCAAGCCTTCTCCCCAAATGGCACTGATCACATTTCTTAAATACCTGGTGAATGAAGCTTGGTGGCTGAAGTCACAGCTCTCTTAGGAGATGAAACAGCAGGTTTGTTAACATCTTGATCTTTCTGTCCTTCTTTCTTTGATCCTAGACCAAGTTGAAAAAGAGAAAAAGAAGGAAAAGAGCTAGTTATAATTGAAATGTTAACACAAGTTGTTTGTGGCAAGGGAGCCTTCACAAAAGGCAAAGGGAACAAAGTAATATTTGGCTGATTTGTTGCTATGGTCACCACCCCCTGTGCTCCAGGGAGGACACACACATTTAGAGCAAAGGGAATTTCCTTGCAGTGGTCAGGGGAATCAGCACACTGGGGCCGCGTCTGACTTGATGAAAAACACCCCTGTCTCTGGGGGTCACTGCACCCCAATGACTCTGACAAACTATCTGGGAATTAAACTTGTATCGTCCTCAGCCACTAACTCAGCCTGCCCGCCTCTTCCTGCCCCAACACATTTTTCAGAAGACACAGATGGAAGCTGGAGCCGAACTCAGCTGCTAATGACTTCGGCATCCCTTAGACCCGAGCCACTGGGGACATGGTCTGCTTCTAATTAATTTCCATGCAGCTGGGCCACAGAAGTGACCTGGAGAGCCTCTGAGCTCTCTCAGCTGCAGCTGAGCCTTCGTGGGACCTGCTGGCAGAGCTGACCCCGGCAGAATGGGGTAACCTGAGCATAAGCAATATAAGGACATCATGTTCTTCTGTCTGGGAGCACAGCACCGTTTCCCTGTGTATGCGGGCCACGGACCCTCACCTTCACATCACCTTCGTCAGAAAGGCCAAGTACTGTGGATGGAGGAGTAGAGAAATAACCCAGACCTGGACATACCCAGACCTGCCTCCACAATTTATTATGTCATTTTAACAGTAAAGCTTGGGGATGGTTCCTGAGATACAGAACACGTCCCAGTTCCCACTCTCCAAAGCCTGCGACCTCATTCCTCTTCCAGAGCTAACTGCTGGTGGCGATTTGGTGGTTATTCTTCCAGACCTCTTTCTAGGTACTTACAAATATTATCTACACATATACAAACACGGGTGTTGACTAGCTAAATGAATCATATATGGCAATTTCTTTTTACCTATCCACACTTTTAAAGATCTTTTTCCTATCAGTGTATTTATAGATCTTTTGAAAGTGCCATGTATGAGTAGGCAAAAAATGCACTGTAATTTATTTCCCCACCGTCCTACTGATGAACATTTCGATTGTTTGCAAGTTTTAGCTATTTAGATAGCGACATGTGCTGTAACACACATTCTTCTACTTGTTTCTTTGCACACAGGGACCAGTATCTTTACAGGAAAAATACATACAAGTGTTTTTGCTGGATTAAGAGTCTGCTCATTTGCTGTATTGCTAGACACAGTCCGGCTGTCTTCCACAAGGAGCTACAAATTTATGATCCCAGACAGGAGTGCATGAGGCTAACACTTTCTGCATGCCTCATACCCTACTGACATCAAAGCCTCAATCATTTTCACTTTTGCCAGACAGTTAGAGTCTTTTCATATTGGTCATGTGCATTTCTTTGTTTGAAAATAGCCTAATTAAATCCTCTGCCTATTTTTCTTACTGATGTATTAGGAACCCTTCATGTATTCTGGATATTAATCCTTTCTTTGTCTGCTATATAAATTATATTTTCTAGCCTTTCACTATTTGAAATTTATCTATAGTATATTTCATTGTACTGTGATTTTAAATTTTAATATGTTCAAATATATCAATTTTCCCCTTTCTATAAAAGCACCATTATAGCTGATTTATCTGTATGTGTGCATATGGATATATGATGGTGGGGAGAGATTATTCCAGGAGTTTGGAGAGAGGGGCAGGTATGTGGATCCAACCTCCCCATCTTTCATTCTTTTCTGGCCTGACTGGGCTCCCATTCCCCCCACACCATCAGACCTGCCTCACTACCCTTTCATCCTTGCTCACCAGCTTTCTACTCATCCACCCACACGCCTGTCACCACCTCTGCTTTACTGCTTTTCAACAGACTCTTTTCGTCCCGTTGATTGAACCCTTCTAAAGCCTGAATTCTCTCTTGTATTTCTCCCCCATTGCTTTTTTCCTTCCTACTCTCAATATGCTTCACGGCATTTAGTTAACATACCCCCAGTCTTTCACATCACAGTAAGTGGCACCATCGTTCACTCACTGCGCTCAGGCCCCAACACTAGGAGTCATCTTGGTTTGTGTCTTTTCTCCCTACCCCTATTCAGCCCATTAGCAAAGCTCATTGTTTCTCCTCTGAGTACATCCCAGGGCTGCCCTCTTCCCTCCCCTCTGCTGCCTCTGCAGAGCCCAATGACACCACTTCCTTGTCTTCCCCCACAAGAGCCTCCTACCTGATTTACTGTTCCCACTCCTGTCCTCTGCAGCTTATTTTCCCACAGCAGCAGAATAATTATTTCAAATCTAAGTTAGAGCAATCTCCCAATCTTGAAATCCTCCTATCACCTCCCAAGATACTCAGAATGAACTGTAAACTCCTTGTCACATCTATGAGGCCCTGGAGACTGGCTCTAGCCAACAGAAATAGAAAATGAGCAGCTTGTATCTTGTAAAATATCCTAGTAACAATATTTAAAAAGTAAAAAGCGTAGTGAAATTAACCATAATAACATTTTTATTTCACCCAACATATTCGGTATCACTCTAACATCTGGCAGTGACCACATTTTGAGTTCTCAACAATGGCCCATGAACCCCCAGCCACCATACCGAGCAGCTCAGCCCCAGATGATCTGGTCTCCTGCCTACGCCACAGACACTGTGGTAGCTAACTTTATGTGTCCTCTGGACTGGGCCACGGGGGGACCAGACATTTGGTCAAACATAACTCTGGGTGTTTCTAGATTAGATTAAATTTAAATGGTAGACTGAAGAAAGCAGACTGCCCTATCCAATGGGAGTAGGCATCCTATGATCCGCTGAAGGCCTGAGCAGAACAAAAGGCTGGCTAAGAAGGAATGTTGCATGCTGGGACATCAGTCTTCTGACCTCGGACTGGAACTTACACCACCGGTTGTCTCTGGGTGTCTGGCTTGCCCACTGCAGACCAGGGGACTTCTCCACCTCCATAAACATGTGAGCCAATGCCTCCTAAGAAATCTCTTTTTATATATAAAGTATTTACTTATAATAACAGATTTTATATTACACAATACATAAATTATATATATTATAACATACATATTTTCTATATAGTCTGTCTCTCTATAAAATGTATCTCATGCACATGTATGCATATCCTACAGGTTCTGTTTCTCTGGAGAGCTCTAACACACAATTGGAATCACTCTGCCCCTGCTCACTCCCTCCGGCCATACTATAGTGCAGGCTGTGCTGAAGCCACGCCTCCTCCCATTCTCCATTCAGCTCCATTTAACTGGAGCTGCACAGAAGATGTTCCCTCTGCACAGAATATGTTCCCCTGAGACCTTGAGCACAGTTCATGCATCCATTCATTCAGGTCTCTGCACAAATGATAATCCTCAGAGAGGCCATGCCTGATACTACAGGTTAAACAGCCCTCCTGCCACCTGCCACTCTCCCCTATACTTGCTTCATTATTCTTCACGACATGTATTGTACCCGTAACACATGACACCCTCCTCTGTTTGTTTATGGTCTGCCTTCCCCACTGGATCGTGAGTGTCAACCCTAGGACCACACTCATCCTGACCCAGTGTGGTCATTCAGTCAATTCTGCCTCCTGTCCCCTCCTTCCCACTGGGCTTCTTTCAAGATGTCCTGTCCAGGCACATGGGGGCTTACAGAAGGCAGGAACCTGGGTCCTGAAAGCCATCACCTCACTCCACTGAAGCCAGACCCACCCTTCAGAGGACCCCATCTATGGCTCACTTTACTCTTCGCATCCCGCCTTCTGCTCAGATTTTAGGTATCAACAAATACGGAAAACTACTGAGACTCATGGGAGTTGAAATGTTAAAAGCCAAAAGTATGCATTAAACACATTACTTCAAAAGAAAATTAAACATGAATATTTATTCAATGTTTCAGTATTTTTTTTTCATCCTTCATGGAGTGCAATTTGGCTGCTTCTATCAAAAATTTAAATACTGATATACTTGACCTAGCAATTCTGCTCCTAGAGATCTCTCTTTGGAACCTCTAAGTGTTACCTTCCATGGCTGTTGGGGTTTTGCTGCTGTGCTTAAGGGAAAAGGTTATGTGCAATGAGACTTCATACGTTATTCACAATAATAAAGGAGAGTAAATCATCAAAATGCACACTGGGAAATGGTTAAATAAATGGTGGTATATCTATACCATGTACTTTTATGCAGCCATTAAAAAGAATGAAGTAGTTCTATATTGTACCAGCATGGAAGATGTCCGTGATGAAGAAAAGAGCTAGCTGTGGTCCCATTTTTATAACACAAGATATTATCTGTACTATACTTTATATAAGAAGATTTGAAACAAAGGCACCAAGTTGTTAATAATGGTTACCTCTGAGCAGTGGGATTAAGGAGATATTACTTTTTATTTTACCCTTTTTTATGATGACCACATATTACTTTTATAATGAGAAATAAACAATAAAAGGAGTGAAACCAAAACCAAAATGAAAATAATTTGTCTGATCCATGAAAGGATGAGGAGAGAAAATGAGCCTATGCAACTAATTCTGTAAGAACAACTTTGATGGAAGGTTTCCCAGTCCCCGCCCCCCCAGGAACACAGTGCTGCCTAGAAAACTCCTGCGTGGTTCTGGGAATTCTTGATGGCACAGAAAATTACAGCAATTAGTCAATGCTTTCCGTACTTTTTCCAGTTTTCTTGCCATCCAGACTCAGCCTTAATGATTCTGAAGTGGACTATGAGCTTTCACCTAACTCTAAGATGGCTGAGCATCTGGGAATGCCAGAGTGGATTGTGGTCTCATGATTTTCCTCCTGTCCCCCTGGATAGTCTCTCTCTCCTTCACTGCAGCTTCCTCCTTTGCCTGTACTGGAGGAAAGGTGCCCCAGGGTCTCAGTTTTCTCCCATCCACTCTTCTGGATGTTCTTGACGGGCTCAGCAGGCTTGCATCCCTAAGTTGCACAT